TACTTTAGTTTTGCTATTATATAATAAAGTACTATGAATAATTAATACTATATAAAAATACTATATATACTATATATAATACCTATAATATAATATAAAATACTTACACATATAATAATATAATATAATACATATATATATATATACTTAAGTATACTTAACTTATAATACTTAAGTATTACTATAAGTATTACTATAATACTTATATAAGTTATTACTATAAGTATTACTATAATACTTATATAAGTTATTACTATAAGTATTATATTATTATAGGTATTATATATAGTATATAGTATATATGGTATTTATATAGTATAGTATATTCATAGTATATATATGAATGTATATACTATATAAATACTATACTATACTATATATACCATATATATATAAATACTATGAATACTATGAATAATTACGTAAATAACGAGCTAAAACGACAAACAGTTCGAAACATGAAAAAGTGGTAACCACGCGAATCGTGTAGTAACGCTCCTGAATTTTCATTGCGCCAGCCGATGCGATGTTTTCGTCTCTTTCGCAGAATCCGGGAGCAAATTCGCGGCTTTGAAATTCAAGTAACGCCGGCAGATTAGGCCTGTTCGTCATGGCTGGGACAGAAAGACTGCATCCGTTCTACGGCTATAAAGGATGCGAGATACCTTCTTTCCATAAATCACGTCTCGCTTGAATAATGACTAGTGTCTCGGTTGACCTTTCTAACCCCGTCGCCCCTTGTTGGCGATATTCTAAAGGAAATCTTGATTGCTGTTGACCCTCTAAAACGTTTGCCAACGTGGGAATAACGATAGGCTTCGTCGCCAAATAGCTACTTCAAATTTAAGCCGAATAATGGCCAGTTCGATTTAATCGAGCGATTGATATTTGCCGAGCCGCATCCGATTACGTGTAACAGTGGTCGATTTCGAGGGAATTCGCGAACATAATCGATAGACTTATCTGTTATTTTTATATTAAATCGTCCACCTTTTTGTATGATTCCAGTATCAAACAACCTTTGGGGAGTAAAGGACCCTCGCCTGTTCATATGAGCACACCTGTGCGGTCCGGGATACAGTCGCCGAAACCTACGATCAATGGATCCGATTCAGTATTGTGAGTTTCGCTAATTTTTTTTCTTTAACCCGAGAAAGATAACCTACGTCGCAGAGGCGCCTGCGAAGACTGTTGATTTTTGTTAATTTTTCATAGAGGTCTAGTGATTTAAGTTTAAAATTACTTAAAATATAAAAAAATATAATATAAATGCATTTTATTTTTACAATAATGCCAAACCTTTCAAATGACTAGATTAACTTAAATAAATATCCATTGTTAGTATAAAATTGACGCCTTAGAAAAGCATGCGCCTCTGAAGCGTATGGTTATCTTTTACGTACGTTGTCATATGGTTATCTTTCTAGGGTTAATTAAAGATCGAACAGATTCACGAGAACCGTAAAGATTGTTTTCGAAAGAGTTCCCACAATTTTCGAAGCAAGGAAATTGTATAAATTACGTCGCGCGACGTCGGGACACAGTATTTGAATATTCTTTTGAATCGCTGTCTCGTTTTTGTATTATTCATTAATCAACGCAAAGTCGAGGATAATGTGTGAACAGATGAGATAATCCTTTTATTTGAAATTCTTTCCTAGACGCACCGACGCAGGTTCTCAACAAATCTATCGACTCGACGTATTTTTCAAGGAAATTAAGTTTTCAGAAAATTCGGATTTGTTACGACCAGCTTTTTGTAATTTCGTGTCTTCGTGTTCGTCGACGTGAAAGGAACTTTTTATATTATTCATATATACTTAAATCCATGTTTAACCCTTTGCACTCGAAGCTGTTTTAACAGGATATTTAATATATTTATTAATATTATTATATTATTTATTAATATATTTAACAGGATATTTAATAAGATCATTCTTCTAACTTATGGTATTTCTATTTTATACGACAAAATGCATTTTATGCATACGAAATCGATTCTTAGGATTCACGCAACAGTTACACTCTTAACAATTTATTATATCTAAACTTTGTTAATGTCAAAATTATCTTAAAAGGTGATATAACAAATTTCAGTGGTGCCTCAGAGTCACCACTCGAGTGCAAAGGGTTAAAAGAAGCTATCGTTTCGACAACATCGGCTCAACGAAATTAAATGCTATTTCACTCTGTTCGACTGTTCCAGGCGGCAGAACTCGGTGTTGAATGCAAGCTACGAGTCCAGAACGCCGGAGAGTCACTACGACGTCGTGAAGCCGCTAAAGGTAAGTCAATAAAATACGACACCGATTAATCTACACGGCAATGTACACGAACAAGTTTTCGTTGATCGCTGCGTGAGCCACCCCTCGCATATCTGGATCGGTTTGATAAATGCGATATTAAGTTACTCACTCTGCAAACAGAGATATGCAATCAACGATGATCACTCGATGCAATTTTATAGCAGACATTGATCAATGGTGCAAATATGGAAAAGTATTAAGGCAATATTCTATATTTATCACAAAAGGCTTGATTATTCTGAGACTATTCTGAATACAGTAGTGTCCCTCTAATTGACGCTTAGATTGTCCACGAAAATGGACAATTTTGGGAGAGGAGATACGATTATTCGAGCCTTGCGGCTCGTTTTTATAGTCGTTGGCAATGTATAACTATAAAGACGAATCGTAAGGCTGGAATAATCGCATCGCCTCTTCCCAAATTGTTCATTTCTGTGCACGATCTGTGCGTCAGTTAGGGAGACGTTACTGTTCTCGCTTAATCGAACGTATTTAGCAACTAGTTCGAAATTATTTATACCAATGTCAAGATGATCCTGCTTACAACACTTTAACCACGCGAAGTGTCAACGATTTAAAAATCTGAAATCTTGATCTTTAAATTGGTTTAATTTCAATGAAAAGAACACAAAGCTTGAAAAGATAATACGTTCTATCAAAATTGAACAACAATGGACACGTCACAAGCTATGCATTTTAATGTAAGAAGCAATATTTTATGTTTAATGGTCTCGCCTGTGCTTCGGAAATCGTATAAACAATGCGCAAGCATTTCAAAATTTGGATTTTACAATGATATCCATCGATCAAACAGAAATATTGCTGGTTGTGCGTTCATGGTGGCACTGTTAACCAGTGAACCGAGATTCCCAAGCCTTCTTTTATACATAATGATAATCGGGAAAACATTGAATTAATATCGAACTTTCTATCTCCGCTTGTTTCTAAAACAGCTCGTATAACCCGTGACCCGTTTACAGTCAAAAGGGGCACTGCACATCGGTGAAACTGGCTTACCAACAATTTTCGCTAATCGTTGCAAACGTTCCCCCCACGCAACTGTTCATAAAATCGATTTCCATTCTTTTTTGCTCCCGTCCCCGTCTTTCTTCGTCGAACGTGAACCAGTAATTCCGACCTATCTATATATTGGGTTGACAACTAAGTAATTGCCGATTTCAGTTATAGATGCCTCTCACTCCCATTTTTATGATATCCGTAAATGTTATATTATAAAATTATTATTATTATTATTCTGTCTCTTATACACATCTAGATGTGTATAAGAGACAGGCTGGAAAATGACACCTTTACGATCGACCAATTCTGGTCGCTTTTCCTTGACCGCTGCATTCAATTTGTCCAGTTGCTAACATTCACGGATAATAAAAAATAACATAATAATAATAATAATAATAATTTTATAATATAACATTCACGGATATCATAAAAATGGGAGTGAGAGACGTCTATAACTGAAATCGGCAATTACTTAGTTGCCCTGTCTCTTATACACATCTAGATGTGTATAAGAGACAGGCTGGAAAATGACACCTTTACGATCGACCAATTCTGGTCGCTTTTCCTTGACCGCTGCATTCAATTTGTCCAGTTGCTAACATTCACGGATAATAAAAAATAACATAATAATAATAATAATAATAATTTTATAATATAACATTCACGGATATCATAAAAATGGGAGTGAGAGACGTCTATAACTGAAATCGGCAATTACTTAGTTGCCCTGTCTCTTATACACATCTAGATGTGTATAAGAGACAGGCTGGAAAATGACACCTTTACGATCGACCAATTCTGGTCGCTTTTCCTTGACCGCTGCATTCAATTTGTCCAGTTGCTAACATTCACGGATAATAAAAAATAACATAATAATAATAATAATAATAATTTTATAATATAACATTCACGGATATCATAAAAATGGGAGTGAGAGACGTCTATAACTGAAATCGGCAATTACTTAGTTGCCCTGTCTCTTATACACATCTAGATGTGTATAAGAGACAGGCTGGAAAATGACACCTTTACGATCGACCAATTCTGGTCGCTTTTCCTTGACCGCTGCATTCAATTTGTCCAGTTGCTAACATTCACGGATAATAAAAAATAACATAATAATAATAATAATAATAATTTTATAATATAACATTCACGGATATCATAAAAATGGGAGTGAGAGACGTCTATAACTGAAATCGGCAATTACTTAGTTGCCCTGTCTCTTATACACATCTAGATGTGTATAAGAGACAGGCTGGAAAATGACACCTTTACGATCGACCAATTCTGGTCGCTTTTCCTTGACCGCTGCATTCAATTTGTCCAGTTGCTAACATTCACGGATAATAAAAAATAACATAATAATAATAATAATAATAATTTTATAATATAACATTCACGGATATCATAAAAATGGGAGTGAGAGACGTCTATAACTGAAATCGGCAATTACTTAGTTGCCCTGTCTCTTATACACATCTAGATGTGTATAAGAGACAGGCTGGAAAATGACACCTTTACGATCGACCAATTCTGGTCGCTTTTCCTTGACCGCTGCATTCAATTTGTCCAGTTGCTAACATTCACGGATAATAAAAAATAACATAATAATAATAATAATAATAATTTTATAATATAACATTCACGGATATCATAAAAATGGGAGTGAGAGACGTCTATAACTGAAATCGGCAATTACTTAGTTGCCCTGTCTCTTATACACATCTAGATGTGTATAAGAGACAGGCTGGAAAATGACACCTTTACGATCGACCAATTCTGGTCGCTTTTCCTTGACCGCTGCATTCAATTTGTCCAGTTGCTAACATTCACGGATAATAAAAAATAACATAATAATAATAATAATAATAATTTTATAATATAACATTCACGGATATCATAAAAATGGGAGTGAGAGACGTCTATAACTGAAATCGGCAATTACTTAGTTGCCCTGTCTCTTATACACATCTAGATGTGTATAAGAGACAGGCTGGAAAATGACACCTTTACGATCGACCAATTCTGGTCGCTTTTCCTTGACCGCTGCATTCAATTTGTCCAGTTGCTAACATTCACGGATAATAAAAAATAACATAATAATAATAATAATAATAATTTTATAATATAACATTCACGGATATCATAAAAATGGGAGTGAGAGACGTCTATAACTGAAATCGGCAATTACTTAGTTGCCCTGTCTCTTATACACATCTAGATGTGTATAAGAGACAGGCTGGAAAATGACACCTTTACGATCGACCAATTCTGGTCGCTTTTCCTTGACCGCTGCATTCAATTTGTCCAGTTGCTAACATTCACGGATAATAAAAAATAACATAATAATAATAATAATAATAATTTTATAATATAACATTCACGGATATCATAAAAATGGGAGTGAGAGACGTCTATAACTGAAATCGGCAATTACTTAGTTGCCCTGTCTCTTATACACATCTAGATGTGTATAAGAGACAGGCTGGAAAATGACACCTTTACGATCGACCAATTCTGGTCGCTTTTCCTTGACCGCTGCATTCAATTTGTCCAGTTGCTAACATTCACGGATAATAAAAAATAACATAATAATAATAATAATAATAATTTTATAATATAACATTCACGGATATCATAAAAATGGGAGTGAGAGACGTCTATAACTGAAATCGGCAATTACTTAGTTGCCCTGTCTCTTATACACATCTAGATGTGTATAAGAGACAGGCTGGAAAATGACACCTTTACGATCGACCAATTCTGGTCGCTTTTCCTTGACCGCTGCATTCAATTTGTCCAGTTGCTAACATTCACGGATAATAAAAAATAACATAATAATAATAATAATAATAATTTTATAATATAACATTCACGGATATCATAAAAATGGGAGTGAGAGACGTCTATAACTGAAATCGGCAATTACTTAGTTGCCCTGTCTCTTATACACATCTAGATGTGTATAAGAGACAGGCTGGAAAATGACACCTTTACGATCGACCAATTCTGGTCGCTTTTCCTTGACCGCTGCATTCAATTTGTCCAGTTGCTAACATTCACGGATAATAAAAAATAACATAATAATAATAATAATAATAATTTTATAATATAACATTCACGGATATCATAAAAATGGGAGTGAGAGACGTCTATAACTGAAATCGGCAATTACTTAGTTGCCCTGTCTCTTATACACATCTAGATGTGTATAAGAGACAGGCTGGAAAATGACACCTTTACGATCGACCAATTCTGGTCGCTTTTCCTTGACCGCTGCATTCAATTTGTCCAGTTGCTAACATTCACGGATAATAAAAAATAACATAATAATAATAATAATAATAATTTTATAATATAACATTCACGGATATCATAAAAATGGGAGTGAGAGACGTCTATAACTGAAATCGGCAATTACTTAGTTGCCAACCCAATAGATATATCGCCGAGGGCGTAATTACAATTCGCGAAAAGACAAGCCCACCGGTTTACCAAACGTTCAACCGTTTCCCGGCGATTTGCATAATCGACCCGCCGATTCAGTGCTGTAAATTAATTCGCGATACCGACGAAAACGGGCAACGCCGATTCGAAGTTCGGAAAATGATTTTCCGTGACCCAAAAACACCGTTGCACAGCGTCTTCGGATCGACGCTGTCTTCAATTCTTGTAATCGTCGATCGGTTAATCGGCCAATTGCCAATTAAACGGTTTAATCGAGGCAATTAGCAGTTGATCTCATAAACTCCCTCCCTTGCTTCCCGGCCTCGTTCTCTTGTCTTCGGTCGACTGTGTCGAATCCTTTTCCGGAAAGTCTGCCGCCGATGATGTAACCGGCGCATTAAAAGCGTCGCGACACTTCGACGGGCATTTGTCGCGCGCGACGCAACGTTTCCGTTGTTCACGATCTGGATGGATGCTTCCTTGTCTCGGTGTTCGATCGTTTCGCATTT